CTACTCTGCAACAGAGAGAGAGAGAGAGAGTGACGGGACAGAAGAGAGCGAGAGGAAAAGGACGTTACCACGGCAACTCGGGGGACGTCGCTGCAGGGACGAGGACACCAGCACACAGGTCACACACAAGCTGTGTGTGTGTGTGTGTGTGTGTGTGTGTGCGTGTGTGTGTGTGTGTGTGTGTGTGTGTCAGCACATGTGTCTGCATACGTGTGGTTTTCTAAGTGTGTGTGTGTTGGTGGATTGAGCAGTGCATGCTGGGAGGGGGGAGGAGGTGGGAGGGGGGAGGAGGAGTGTTGGGGGAATCCTATTAGCAGAGTCCAGGAAAAGTAGGGCTAACTGTGTGCTTATCAGTCTGTCTGTGTGTGTGTGTGTGTGTGTGTGTGTGTGTGTGTGTGTGTGTGTGTGTGTGTGTGTGTGTGTGTGTGTGTGTATGTGTATGTATGTGTGTTTCAGGAATGTTTCAGCTTTTGTTTGCACATTGTCACGTTTGAGGATCTAAATAAAGATTTCACTTCACAGTTGAATCAGCTGAACACAGGTGGTGTGTGTGGGTGTGTGTGTGTGTGTGTGTGTGTGTGTGTGTGTGGCTGTAAACTCAGATCAGAGTTCAGTGTGAGATAAAACTCAGTTGAACTCTCTGAACTTCAGAAACATCAGAACATCAGGTTGAGTGGAATCACAGCTGGAGGGAAGAAGGTCAGTGTCAGAAACATCTGGATCCTTCATCTCTCTGGAGGAGGATGGATCATGTGAATTTTACATGTGAACTGCAACAACTAGTTGATCGATCGATCTGTCAGATGTTTGTCTCCTCTGACAGATGTTTGTCTCCTGACAGATGTTTGTCTCACACGGTCTGCTGTTCATGTCTCAGCTTTCAGTTTACTTTCACGACAGAGAAAAGCTTCTGATCGTTTGGAGTCGATCAGTCGATTATCAGAATAGTTTCTGATTCATTTCCTATTGATCCGCTATAGCTCAGCTCTGTATTTTCTTATATGACTGTATCATGTTCAGCAATGGTGGGCAAACGGCGGCTCGTGGACCAAACCCGGCCCTCTGACAAAAACATCTGGCCCCTGCTGAGAAGTGAGGGTTTCTCTTCTTCTCTGTTTACAACAATATGATGTTTGACTCTCACAGCGAACACAGACTGAACAGATGTGAAGCAGCTGATCAGACACATGTTCATGTCCATCAGTCTGTTTCCACCAGACTTTATTAGTCAGTGATATTCTTAATCAAATAAAACATATAACTGTGACTGATGTGTAAATTACAGTCACAGCTGCAGCGATTAATCAATTAATCAATCAGTTAATCAACAGGAAAATGAATAGGTGACTATGTGAATATCTAATAATTGTTTTACTCATTCTTTAAGCACAAATTTCACACAAGTTTCCAGCTTCTCCAACGTGAGAATTTGATGCTTTTCCTGGTTTTAAATGATAATAAACTGATTATCTCTGGCTTTAAATAGTGACACACATTTTTCAGATTCACCAGGGGAATAAGATAAGGAGTCATTTCACTCACAGCTGTGGTCATTCATCCTCTCACATTAAGTTTCTAAGAGTCTTCTATGTTTCCTCCTCCGTCCTCTCGACGCCGGAGTCTTCAGACCCTCAAACAGAGACTTTCAGAAACTCTGCTGGACCTTTTTTATTTTGAAAAATGTGGGGTTGTGTTTTATTTTGAAACTCAGGTAGACAGAGAGTCCACAGACTAAACAATCTACTTCCTGTTTACACCGGCGTGCACATGCTCAGTGTAGAGAGTGGTCATGTGATGTGTGTGATGATGGATTTAGTTTGGACGCAGCCTCCTTAGTCTTTGTTTTTAATCCAGATGTTTTAGACACTGCAGACTGAAGAGAGAACAGCTGTTTCTGTGAGAACACACAGGTGTTTACAGGTGAGATGTGAATCTCACATTTGATGACTGGACAGCAGCAGGTCCAGACTTGGACCGGGTTTGGACCTGGTCTTGTTCTGACTTTGAGCTGTCCTTGAGCGAAGCGTTGAGCTTTACCTGTAAACAGGAAGTGTTTGTCCAGGTGAAATCTGACCCTCACAGGAAGTCGATCTTAAACCTACAGTCTGCTGGTCTCTGGTCTCTGCTGGTCTCTTCTGGTCTCTGCTGGTCTCTGGACTTTGCTGGTCTCTGCTGGTCTCTGCGGGTCTCTGCGGGTCTCTGCTCGTCTCTGCTCGTCTCTGCTGGACTATGGACTCTGCTGGTCTATGGACTCTGCTGGACTCTGCTGGTCTCTGGTCTCTTCTGGTCTCTTCTGGTCTCTGCTGGTCTCTGCGGGTCTCTGCTGGACTATGGACTCTGCTGGTCTATGGACCCTGCTGGTCTCTGCTGGTCTCTGGACTTTTCTGGTCTCTTCTGGTCTCTGGTCTCTGTTGGTCTCTGTTGGTCTCTGTTGGTCTCTGCTGGTCTCTTCTGGTCTCTGGACTCTTCTGGTCTCTTCTGGTCTGTGGTCTGTGGTCTCTGCTGGTCTCTGGACTCTGGTCTCTGCTGGTCTCTGTTGGTTTCTGGTCAGAGTCACAAAGTGCAGCTGTCAAATCCAGATGTGGGTCCAGTCCCTCTGAACAAAATCCAGATGTGACCCAAGTGATTAACTTGTAAGCTGAAGAATAAAAAGTGTAAACGCTGAAAGCAGTCAAAGTGTCCGCTGCAGTGATTGATCCATCAAAAACATAAAATCAATTAATTGTTTCACTCATTTTTTAAATCAAATCAAAAGTGAAAATAATCATTAATTTGAGTGCAATATAAAACCTTGTTGTAATATTATTTGGGTCTTTTGGGGGGGGGCGGGGGCTCTCTGTTGACTGTGTGGTTGTGTTGGTTCCCTGCAGCCTCTTGTGTTTTCATGTGACTTCAGACTCTCCTCATGATCTAAACCACTGACCTGCGTCCGTCCAACAGACAGCAGAGAGGAGGAGCCGGCTGCACAGTTACTGTTAGATCTGAGATAGAAACACAGACACTGAAGTCTGAACACAGACAGAATACAGCCGACGGAAAATACAACATGTGAATGGATCGTGATATTAAGAGTAGACCCATTCAAAACATCTCTGTGAGCACAAAGCTAAACATGAAATCTAAAGTAATAAACAGAGTGTGACTGTAAGAAGTCTTTGTTGGTGTGAACTGTGGATCAGACAGTTCGTACAATGCCTCTAGTTTTCTCACCTGACGATCCTCCAAGCTGCTTTTCCTCTTCTATTAATAGACGAATCAAACTCACATGTCGCTTGGCGCCTGCTGGCCCACATGTTCCGGCCGCCATGTTGGAGGCCGGCCAAGGACATGAATGGACTTGTAACTACCACGGTATTTAACCTTATCAGAGGGTAAGGACACATGTGGTCTGAAGGGCTGAGAACTCACTTACAAATGACAAAAGGTAGTAAGGAGTCGTTCCACCTAAAACCTCCTGAACAGCCTCAGTGCTCTTTGTTGTGTATTGATCTGGATCTGGATTGTCATTTCTTCAGATGATATTTCCTGATTTGGTGTTTTGATAATGGTGATGGGGAACAGAAACACATCACCCCAAACTCTCCCACCGAGAAGACCCTTAAAATAAACAGTAGAACCTTCTCAATGACCATCAGATGTCTTAAATGCCGTAGAACCTTTTAAAAATATGGAGATCTACCTAAGGACCTCTAGAACACCTTTAGGAAAGCTTAGAATTGCCTCAATGACCATCAGATGTCTTAAATACTGTATAACTTTTTTAATGACCACTAGAACCTTTTAAAAATATGGAGATCTACCTAAGGACTTCTAGAACACCTTTAGGAACGCTTAGAATCTCCTCAATGACCATGAGAACCTCCTAACCTACTCCAAGTCCTCCTACGTGACTGCTGCAGTATTTCTAAGGACCTCTAGGATATCTTCAATAACCATTAGAACCTCTTAAAGGAATCCTAGAACATCTTCAATGACACCAACAATCCTTAGAACGTCCTACAGAACTTGTAGAACTTCCTAAATGACTGTAAGAGCCTCTTAAATGACCCCTAGAACATCCGCACCCTAAAGGACGCCTATAATCTTCTCATTTACTACTAGAACCTCTTAAAGGATCCTTAGAGTGTCCTAGAGGACTCACAGAACCTCATCATTAACCAGTAGAACATTTAAAGAACCCCTAAAGTAAAGGCCCAGTAGAACCTGCTAACTTGCAGCGACTCTCCATCTGATGAATAAAACATGAGAGATCTTTGGTGTCTGATCACAGCAGTGAACCAGTTTGTCTGAGGACACCAGTTGACCTACAAAGAAGATTCACACTGACAAAGTGTTGATCATCAGCCACAAGGTTTATGACTTGTAGGATGGAAACCTCCTTTTTCACAGTTCAGATCATACAAATGACATTTATTGTTGTTGGTTTGAAACAGCTGAAGAGTCCAAATGTTTTCAGTATTATCTGGAACCAAGTTAATAGAACAGCAGTTTGTTTATTTTACGAGTTGTGCTGCATCAGAGCACAAAACATGAACGGTTCCTGAGTCTGAATGTATGTTTGAAAGTTTGAATGTGTGAGAAAGAACATCCTGAAGGAATTTATGAATTCAGAGTGTCTGGTCTTCGATAGGAAGAAGCTGAAGATGTAAATCTTCACTATACTGTAAATTTCTGTCTGTTCTTTTGTCATCTGCCTTTGTTTTTCTATTTTGATGATATCAGAAGGTTCTTTGTCATGAAAAGCATGATGTGAGATGTAGAACGTGAAAAGCTCAGATTGACTCTGCTGTCCTGACTAAACTACATCATATTAACTTTGTGTGTGTCTCTGCTTCTTGCCACAGGTTGAAGAAATGATGAGCAGATGGAGGATAGAAAGATCATGAATGACTTCTGATGAGCACTTTGATGGGTACCAGGAGGTCGAGGGACCCTTTGCACAAATAGCATAGGGCCTCAGAAAAGGAAGATCAAGACCTTTAGGTGACTCCGTTGTCAACATGTCTCAGGCAGGTAAAGTCCTTCACCTGTACGTAGAGGTGAGGTCTGTTGCTGAGGACGAAGGAAAGGTGCCGGGAAGAGGAACTGATGGGACCGGTCACCTGATGCTTCATTGCCCAGACGTCCTCCCTCATCCCCAGACGAGCTCCACCCACTCCAGTCCCAACCGCAGTCCAGCTGTTTCCCCAGTCGCTCAGCATCACACTGGGAACCACAGCTTAGCCCCTTCAAAGTCCTCCTCCAGGCACTCAGTCAGCTTCCAACTCCAAAACCCTGATGCACCAGGATCTCCCGCCCAGTTCCATCGACAGGACGTGTTGTCTGATAGTTTTGGGCAGTTACTCCAGGTCCTTGCACCTGGAACAAATAGTCTAGGCCAGCATGGCTCCCTGGGACGCACCCGTTCTTCAGACTTGGATCCCTACCAGGGAAAGGTGCTTATCTCCCCATCTTCTACATGTTCGGGGAGGCTGAGTGTACCCTCCACTCCCACCAGCAACCGTAGGTCCTGTGAGATCCCAGCGGTGGGGGGTGAGGAGGGGAGGACATCTGTGGTTACCTTTGGCTACATAGAGAAAGCTAACGTCCACAGCATGGGCAGCCGGCGTACTTCTGTGTGCCAAAGTGAGTTGGACAATCCTGTGAGCAGAATAGAGGGGCAGCCGCTGCCTGCCCATCTCCGGAAACGGCTGAGTGACCCAGTGTGGTACAATGGTCAGCCGGCAACGGGCGACCCTTACCCTGATCACCCCTACCTATCCCAGAATCAGTCCCCACGGGGCTCGCCTTACCTGCAGAGGGCTGCCCTGGGGGCAGTAGCCGGAGATGCCACCCACAGGGCCTTGGAGGAGTTTGGATCCCCAGATCTCAGACGGCGATTTGCCGGTCATGGCTCAGAGAACTGCAGCCCCACCCTTCCACGACACTACCAGTCCCCTCGCTGCCGGTCCTGGGGGGGGTCACCTGTCCTGCCTCGCAGCACCCTCACCCTGCCATCCAAGGCCCAGCTCTCAGAGCTGGATAGGGGGATCTGCCGTAGTTCAGTGAATGGGATACCCAGAAGTCCTGCCTCTGACCACCTATGTACCCACACTGGATACTCCTCCCACTCAGCGGCTCCAACCTCAACACTTCACTCACATGGCCCCCCCCAGAGCCCGCAGAGGCCACGGCTCGGGGATGAGAGCTCCAAGTTTTCCACCAAATTTCATCCACCTTTACCTGCAGGGAGACCTACAGACATCCAGCATGGGATTCCAACGAGCACATTCCCCACCAGCCACCAGCCCAGTACTGGCTACCGAACCAGTGGGAACTCCCAACACATTATCAATAGTAGCTATAAAGCTAACATCACCAACACCAGTAATAATGCTAGAAACAGTACACAGTACAGTGCTCACGATAAGAGTCACTACAAATCGTCACGCTGCAGCAGCAGAGCCAGTGATCATTCAGCAGTCAGCCCCACCAACGGTAGGAGAAGTGTCTCCCCATCCTCAAACACTGAACTGGCTTGTAAATTAGCCTTGGAGGCTACCAAACTGTCCTCCATCTTTGCAGGCAGACGGACCCCCTCTCCAACACCTTCTCAAGCTGAGTCGCTGCTGTCAGAGAGTCCCAAGATGGGAGGGTCATTCCTGAGTGAATCCCACCCGCACGCCACCCTTCAAGGGCAAAACTCCCCTGAACCCCTGCAGGCAGATAACCAGAACCACAGATGGAAAACAGACAAACCGATACCTCAAACCAGACCAGGACGTGTCAACCCCTTCTTGTCCCAGACAGGCCTCTCTCCATCTCCAGGTTTACCGGCGAGGTTGCACCGAGCTGCCGCTTCGCAGTCTCCAGTTTTAGACCCACGGAGTTCATCACTCAGTAAAGACATGTCCAACCTGCACCGCTACCAGCCACCACAGTACACTGGGGACCGCAAATCACCTGGCATGGAGAGGAGGCAGTATGATCACCTCTTTGATCGATCACCCAGGGACAGCCCTGAACTCTCCAGGAGACACCTCTCCAGCCAAAACACAGAGGGTTTACCCGTGAGCTGGACCTCCAGGCAGCAGGAGTGGAGGGAGACTGGACCAGTCCGGGACCGAGATGAACTCTGTGAAAAAGACCACAGACAGTCAACCTCTAGAGTTTACACTCCAAGCAAGGATGGAGATGACAAAGAGGTGAAGACGTCAGTGCAGGGGAACCAGAGGTCAGTTGTAGACATATCTAAGGATCAGAGGGAGGAGGTCCAGGATCACAGCGGGGCTGGAGGGACGTCCTCTCAGAGCTCCAGTGGGGTGACGGGCAGCATGGGAGACAGTTCCCAGCTGGACAGAAACGACAGTTTGTTCCCCGAAACTTCGAGTCAGTCGAGCCACGACACAGCGGACACCGGCTCTGGGATACAGGTCGGCTGGACGGGAGGATGAGGAGGGTCGGTTGTGTGTAAATACAGCCAGACCCTGTGTGTGTGAGGATGTGGTTATGAAGTATGGCTTTGTTGTGAGTTGGTGTGGTCATGTGTGAGTGGGGTGAGATTGATGTCATGATGATGTCATGATGTCAGATTCACATTGATGACTATAAATATAAAACAAAGTTGAAGTCCCTCCTCAACATTTCATTAGTTTGTCTCTCTGTTCATCTTTCCGTCCATATTCTAACATGAACGTCCTGCTGGACTGATCAGATTATTTTGTTAGCCTTCAGCAACTACAGCTCCCATAATGCTTTGATGGCAACTCTGTGGCTAAGACTCTTGGGATATGTTGTTGAGTTCTAACAACTGTTTTCATTTGAATATCAGAACAATAAAAACTTGAAAAAAAGAAAAACTGCCTCAGTATAAACGATGTCTGTAGTTTCTTTAATTTCCTCTGGATCACAGTTTTTTCTGCCAAATTAAAACATATTTAATTTTCATATGCCTTTATTTAGTTTTTGTCTGGTGTGATTTGGTGAAGGCGCTGGTCTACAGTCCTATTGTCTTTAATATTTTAATCATTGAAAATATTTTTTTTCCTGTATAATCTGAATTTTAAATTTACACCACCAATTGCTTTAATCGAGGGCTACAATTGTCATTATTGATTATTATATTATTATTTATTCAATAAATAAATGTTGGAAAATCACAAAAGCACAGCCCGAGGTTATTTATTTCAGGCTCTTGATTTATTTGACCAACCGTCCAAAACCTGAAAATGTTACTGTCACATATAGATAGAAAACTCAGGCATCCTCACATTTGCACATTTTTGCAGTTTTGCTTGAAAAATAACTACTGCGATTAATTGATTGTCTAAATAATCAACAGTTAATTTCATTGATTGATTAATCAAATAATCGTTGCAGCTGTAGTTTAAATCAAATCAGAGCTTGTCTGCTGATTATAAAAACATGTACACTGATTAACTTCCAGAGGCAAGATTGCCTGACCACACACAGAACTGTAAATATCATATCATTTAAAATAGATAAAGACTTTATCGTATTTCAACCCGACTGTGTTTCCTCCTCCTGCAGTCGGACAGCGGCTCAGCGACGACTCCGTCCTCGCGGTCACTGAAGATCGCCCGAGCCAAGTGGGAGTTCCTGTTTGGAGGCCAGACAGAGGACAGCCGCTGCAGTAAAGGTGCTGATGACTGTTGGTGTTGTATTTGTTTTACATTATTTTAATTGGTTTAATTTCTGTTTTAACTGATTCTGTTTTGTTTGAACCATCGTGACCATCGTGTTGTATGAAGTTCTCTTTAATCAATGCTCCAGATGTTTGCATTGAATGGATTTGAAATCTGATTTAAACCATTTTAACTTCCATTAACCTTTTACAATGAAAGGAAATGAAAAAAAGTTCATCATTGTTTTATTCTCAATCAGTTTCAGTCCCTCACGTTCAGAGTGCAGCAGCAGTGGCGGTACTGGGAGTAGCAGCACTAACACCAGTAGTAGTGGTGATATAACAGACGTAGCAGTGGTAACAACAGCAGTACAATTGGGTTCATTAATTCTGCCTTTCCTCAGGTTGTTGTCTCTTCACTCAGCAAAGTAAACAAGCAGCTTCAGGAGCTCCCAGTCTTTAAGCCAATTAGCTGAAGCTTAACATCAGCTAGAACACAGCTCACAGTATTCAGCTCTACTCACCAGTATTACTACACACCACTACTCACTTCCTGTTCTTTATTCAGCATGTTGCTCTGACTCTGAAGTATTCTGAATTACTTAGTGAATTACTCTGAATTATCTGAAGTCACTGGTGTTTGCTGTGGGAATGTGTGGCCTCCAAACATTAATCTTTTAGTTATCGTGTTGATAATTCATTCCAGACATCATCAGTGCTTCAGTGGATAAGATTCATGTAGTAGACCATGAATCATTTTATATTTTCTGTATTAATCAAAAAGATGTCTTGTCAGCCCACCTCGCCAACACTTTATGCATTTGGACTATAACCATAATTGTTCTTTACTAAACTGACAGCTGACAAAATACTTCTGATGTCTTGATTCATACTAAGTTACGACGACTATTCTACAGTATCTTAAACTAAGGAAACTGCTCAGTCATTTTTTTCTCCTCACTTTAAACCTAGTTACCTTAAACACAAAAATAAAAACAGATCAATTTTTAGATTTTATTTTTATTTTTTATCATTATATATTTATTTTATTATATTTTATTATTTATTCATTTAAGTTTTCATCTTATGAATCTGTTTTTGTCAGTGAAATCTAGAATGAATAAAGATTTTGACAAGTTCAGCTTAGTTTTACCTCTTGTACAGACTGTTTTTGTTTACTAATACTGATATTGAATATTGAATTGGTTTTTAAAAACCCATTGACATTATGACAGCTGAAGAGGGCTGCATCTTAATTATCTTTGCCATTAATCATTTTGTCTTTAAAATTTAACAAAATAGTGAAAAATGTGATTTTTTTTTTTTTTTCAGATTTGAATTTCTTGTTTTATGAATTCAGCTGCTCACAACCAAGAAATGTTCATTTTATTTTCATGTATTCATTCATTTTATTTTCTTTGGTTTTCAGCAGCTGAAACCAAAGAAGTTCTGAAATTCAGTCAGTGCTCTCTGACACTTTCTAAATGACCACAAACATATATTAACCCAGCTGACACATAATTTAATACTGATCCAAATTTATTATCTTTAGTACGGAATGATTTCTGGAGAATGTTAAAACTGAAATTTTTGCACATTTAACTTTTTTGTATAAATATAACTATTATATAATCTGTAAAATAATACGCTGTGTCGTCTGCATAGAGACGTATCCTCACTTCGCTTGCCTGGATGTTTCCTCCAATATTATTATTTATGCAATAATAGTAATGATGATAATAATAATAATAATGATAATAATAATAATATAATTTATACAATAATATTATTTATGCATTTTGAAAACATAACAGGTTCTAATACAGAGCCTTGTGGTACACCTCCTGTCAGAACACCAGACCTGTATTTAAACATTCATTTGCTTCTTCCCTCCAGCAGACGCCCCGCCCACCACGCCACCGACCAGCTGCTCACCCAGCCCCACCCCTCCCTCCTCCCTCCATCTTAAGCAAGCCAATCAGAGGAGGGGGCGGGACAAAGAGGGTCAAAAGTTGTCGCATCACAAAGTGCAGCAGATCGAGGTGGAGCTGGTGACTCCTAACCCCCTAGGCACCAACCCCAAGACGGGCATCATCCGCCGGACCGTCAAATATTCTGAAACGGATCTGGACGCCGTTCCACTGCGCTGCTACAGGGAGACCGACCTGGACGAGGTGATCTGGTTTCAGCTGGTGTCATCTTGTCTGAAAATGTCTAAATGTTCATGTAGGATAAATATTATTATTATTGATTATTATTGATTATTACTGTAAAGGTGATGCGGGCGGAGGCGGAGGCAGCAGAGGAGGCGGAGGAGGACTCAGCCTTTGGGAGTAACCGCAGCTTCCTGGGAAACTCCACCTTCAGTCCCGCTGATGCCTCCCCGAAACCCTGGACAGGTGGAGGGAAGGAAGGGGGCGAGGAGGAGGAAGAGGAGGAGGAAGAGGAGGAGGAGGAGGAAGGTGTGGTGAGCTGGGCCAGTGTCAGGATGCAGGGAGACAAACAGAGACAGAGAGCCACCAGAGAAGAAGATGAGGTGTTCAGTCTGCTGCTGAAGGGGTGAGTGAGAGAGAACACACATTTACAAGCTTTCTTTGAATGCATCATGGACGTGATGTTTGTGCTTCACCTGCACCAGAGTCTTTAAAGTTTGTATTCTTCTTCAGGCCATTGGAGGCGTCGTCTGACACCCACGGCGGCCTCAAGTCTCCCATCTCCGTTGGCAGCCCCCGCCGACCCTCCGACAGCAACCTCGACTCCTTCAGCCGCCATTTTGAAAGCATCATAGAGTCTCACCGGGCTAAAGGAACCTCGTACAGCAGCCTGGACAGCGTGGACCTTCTGACCTCTGGATCCACGTCTGTGTTCACCTTCGACCTGCCAACCCTGACCCCGGAGATCCAGGTAGGAGAACCGGACGCTTCACGTCAGTACTTCCTGTCTGACTCCAGGAGGTTAAGACGTTGTGTCTGTGTGTTCAGAGTCAGATCTGTGACAGTGCCAAGCAGATCATTGAGCTGAGTTTCGCCCCGCTGGCCCGCCCGGACCCGGCCGCCCCCTCGGAGACGTCTCGCTCCGAAATCACCCTCAGTGCCTCGGGGGCGGGGCTCCGAGGCGGTTCCAAAGACGACTCCGGGCCTCCGGTCCGGTCTAGGTCGGAGAAAGATTCGTGGCGTCGCTCAAGCGTCAAAGACGGCTTCCGAAAGGCGAGCTCGGCCCCCTCCCTCCACAGCAGCCCCAGGTGAGTCCGTAGATTGCCACAGTCTTTTTTATCCCACCTGTGGCCCAGACCCTCAACGTCGTCTGTGTGGTCTGTTTGATAATAAGTGAAACTAACTCTAAGGTTGCAGCGTCACATGATCTTAAAGCCACATCTTTTCAAGATGGAGGAAAATTTCACCCAGAATAAATAAAAAAACTAAACGTTCAAAGAAAAAAAGGCAAATTAATGGTTATTAATAAGAATAACCAGGTCACACTTGGATGTTACAGCCTCTGGAAACCTGGTATCAGGTCATAAGTATTTCTTAATGTCAGGTTCCTTATCACTGTCAGTTTGTTATGTCCAGCTCGGCTCACAGCAGGCGGCTCTTTTCCTGCCACCAGGTGGCAGCAAAATCAAACATTTTTCTAATTCTCCACACAGTGATTTAAAGGAGAAAGTCCACATGACTCTGGATGAATCTCCACTCTGGGGCTGTTGTTGTTGTTGTTGTTGTTGTTGTTGTTGTTGTTGTTGTTGTTGTTGTTGTCGTTGTCGTTGTCGTCTTCATTGTCATGGAACCTGGGTGATTTTTTTCATGTGTTAATAAGACATTCTTGTTGATGGTGAGAGCCTCTCATCATGGCAGTAAACACAGAGAGGATGAACGAGGTC